TATACCTTTAGGATTAATAAATAAATAATAAAATATTAACATTTTCTTGAAATAATTTTTTATATTTTTAAATATTTATAAATGCTAATAACTTTTATTTATTGATAATAGAAATTCCACTATTTAGCATATTTTGATGAGACAAAGACAACAAAATATAATTTATTTATTTATGATTACTGAATAATTAGTTAAAATATTTACATTCATAATGCTGACCAAATTTACAAAAACGGACATAAATGTCCGTTTTTATAATTCCGGCCAAATTTATGTCCGTTTTTATAATTCTGGCCAAATTTGCAAACGGACATTTATGTCCGTTTTATAATTCCGGCCAAATTTTGCTGGGCGAAATTATCTTAATTCTGGCCAAATTAATGTGTAACCTTAAAAAAATTTTTGACTTTTTTATAGTTACAAGGTGGTACAAAATGTACATTAATGCAATCCTTGACCATGAGTTTATAAGTAAATATCCGGTCAAAAGTTATAAATTTGCCTTATTTGTAATTAGATGTTGGTAAGTTGTTTGGACCAATCAGATCTCGTGGGCTAATCTGGCCCATGGGCAGTTTATAAGCTAGGATGTAGTGCACGCCCACTTAGCTTAGAAACTATGCCGATCATTTGGCTGGGGTGTTTCGATTGTTGTAATTTCTTGATTCATAATTTCCCGTGAAAAAAATCTGACTCGGAAACTCGGTAAATCATGTATTATTAGCTTTTATGCAATACTAAAAGACAAAAAAATACACGATAACTTAGTAAAGAATAACGTAATACCTCGATTTTTTTTTAAAAAACAAGTAAAGAAAAAAGTTTTATTATTAACTAAGAAAGCTGGTTCTAAACGCAGATAGCCTTCTTTGAAAAAAATAAAGGTATTAAACGAAAAAGACAGCTGTTTTGGATATTCTTGCAGAATTTGAAACTTAAATAGTGGGAATGAGTTATTTTAATATGAAGTTTCTTATAAAGTTTATTTTATTAATTATAGTGATCAAAAAACTAGTAATTTTTTATGATACTTTACATATGTTTTGATTTAATTATTTGATGGTACACCCTAATGTATCGTTGTAGCACAATAAGTTGTAAAGACATAATTAGCACATAAATAACAAAAGAGATATATCTTAATTTAAGTAACGTTCTAATTGAATTCTTAGCGATATAAGAAATACCTAGAAACAGTGGCTCTAATGATCAAAGTTACGTTTTTCAATAAAAAAAACCCTTCAATTTACTCAATATCAAAAAAGCTCAACATGAAAATAAGATTTTTTCAGTTTACTATGAAACCATCAATCCTATTCCAAATACACAGTGAAATTCGATAAACCGGATCTTTGATAAACCGGATTTGGGCCTAAACCGGACTTTTTTGCTGGAACCAAATTACGTATATTAAAATAGTTTCGATATACCGGAGTTTACTAGTAAAAGCTCGATATTCGATATAACGGATCAATTTTCTAACCAACTATAGTAAAAATGATTCGACAAACTGGATCACGTGATCATGAACCAATAAAATTTAAGCAATGTGATGCGGTAAATCTTAATTTTGGTCAGAATTATAAAAATCTTAATTCCGGCTGAAGTTATGTATTACTTATATATTCAATTAAAATATTTTATATTCATTTTCATGACCTCTATGACTTAAAACTAAGATGAAAAAATTAAATTATAGTGTATATTAGTTTTATTAGCATGAAAATTTTATAAAAATTCAGTATAATAGATTTTTAATATATCAAAATTTTTTCGCTAAACCGGATATCCTGATAAACCAAATATTTTTAGTGGAACCGACAGATCCGGTTTATCGAATTTCACTGTGTATTAAACTTTATTTAAATATAATTAATACAACGAATATATATATACAAAAGTAATAAATTTGATAAGAGGTAGTAAAAGTACTGTTTAACTTGTAAACTTCTTAAATTTTTTAATCAAATTTTTTCTTGCAGTTAATGAATATGCCGATGCAAAACTTTCATTATTTCCTTCTCCCTTCATTGTAATAATTAATAAAATATTAAAAATAATTATTTTAAAAATAAACTCAATATAAATCTGTTAAATACATACCTCAATTTCATTAACAATAAATGTGTAAGCATTATAAGCATGAGATACTAATAAACAAGTAGGAAACAATTTTTTAATCAATTCTTGTTTAATATCATCAGTCCATAAATCTAAAGTGAAATCCAAAATATATGTATTTAAATTCTGATTTTCAATATTAGAATTAACTAATAAAAATCTATAAATAAATCTTTTCAAAGCAAGAACCAATGCCCTAGCAGGAATAAGTTGTTGATTTTGACTATTATAACTCACAGCCTTATTGATTGAATCCTTCATTTGCTGCACTAATTGAATTTTAAATTTATCATCTATATTGTGAATTATTGAATTAGCAACTTGTTCTTCAATTAATACATAATATGCAATAATATGTTTTAAAGAAAACTCTTTAAGTATATCTATAGATGCTATATTATATCTTGCTAATTTCAACCATTGGTCAACAAAATCTAAAATAAGCATATTATTATTTTGAATTGATAATTCTTTAATAAAACAGAGCATTATTTCAAAAAGAAAAAGTAAATCAGATAGATTAACTAAATTTGTTGAACTATTTAAAATTATTGAAGAATTTGATTGCTGAAAGAATGTCAATATCATTAGAATTTTATCTCCCGGGATAGGTACTTGTTGTAATACTTTTTTAATATCAAAAAGAATTTTTGGAGAGTTATGAAATAATTCATATTTGAATGAAAAGTTTTTTAAATAAAATTGATTATTTTCCATTTTAAAATAAACTTTATCAATAACTAATTTTCTTGCTAATTTCATTTCGATTTTTTGTAAATCAAATATAAAGTTTACATTTCCCTTTATACCCATATTTCTTTGATTATACTTTAAAATCTTATCATTCCACTCATAATTAATAAAATTATCATCTTGTGCTTGTGCTACCGTAGATATAATAAAATACATTTTAGAATTTAAATAATTCCAAGACAAATTCTTTATAAAGTTAAGGCTTTTACATTCTTCAATTGGAATATTTATAATATCATCTAAAAATTCATTGTGCAATTTAATTAAAAAGTCTAAAATTGCACATAAGTAAATTCCATTATTTTTTTGCTCAACTAATCCAAAAATTACAGGAAGTTCAAGATTCATATGTGGCTTATTAAGTAATTCTTCAGATTGATATTGATCAATATGGCTAATAATATAATTCCAACTAATAGCAAATTCTTCAAATAAAGATTTTAAATTGACATATTCATTATCATCTGCAGATTCTTTTTTAATAAATTCATGAAATGTCATGATTTGAGCTGTTTTTTTAGTTAAATGATATTCAAGCTTAAAGCTTAAAATTTTTACAAATCTAATAATTGGACGAAGATGTTTAATGAAATTTAAGTTCTTATTATGTTTAAAAAATACTGAAAGTAAAGGATATTTATCCAAATTATTATTATAATATGTATGAAAATCTTTAAAATTCACTTTTATGATTGATTTCCAAAGTTTAGGAGGAAAATACATTTCCATATTTGTAATTGACTCTATATTTGTGAAATTTTCAAAAAATGTAAACTCTTTCTTTAATATTTCGAGTTGCTTTATATCAAAAGAACTTTGCTGATATAAAATTAGCATAAAATAAGATCGTATTGAATGCATAAATAGATTAACACTGATTTTCATAACATTATTAATTTCTTTAATTAATGACTTAGATAAAGAATTATCTTTTTGAAAGTAATTCTTCCAGTATTTATTTATAAATTCTTTTAAAAATGCAATTGAAGTTATTTGTTGCAAAAGCAAATCTTCTTGATTTGTAAATGATTCAATTGAATTCTTAAAATAAGGTAACAATTCACTTAATTCAAATTGATTGAAAATTGATTGAATTATTTCACAGCAAGACCAAGCCATATTTGAGTTGATGTCTTTAATATTATCATTAATAGTTTTCAATCTAATTGAAAATTGTAAAGCTTTTTTAGAATTCTTAATTAATATGAAAAATATTTGTTTGTTTTGTTGGATTTCAGTAGTAAATATTTTTTCAATTATACCATTATTCATTAGTTTGAAAGAATATTGTGAAAATATATGTTTGTAAAGAGTTAAACGAATTTCTGATTCCAAAGAAATAAGGTTAAGGCTTCTTTTAATAAATGATGTAATAGGAATTTCATTATTGTTATTGTCTAAATTACTAAATACTAAATTGATAATTTCAGTTGTAATAATTTCTTTGTTTTTGGTGGATTTTCCTAAATTAATAATTTCTTTGACTTTTTCTAGTGGAGTTGTATTAATTTTTAATAAATCATTACATATAAATAATAAGTGCAAGTTTGAAAAATTCTTTGAATCATTGATTTTATAATATATGGATGAAATGAAATCCATATCTTGTTTCCATGGTTTATCATCACATATATTTTTTAAAATCAAGTTAATTGATTCATTGAAAAGAAATCGATCAAGTTTACCATATACAATAAAATCATTCTGAGCCTTTGTAATAAGATCTGGAAATGTTTCAACCAATTTTAATTGAATTAAAATTTCTGCAGCATATTTCCACCAATAAATATGAAGAATAAATGGGTTTACAATTTTATCTTCAGTTCCAATTAAATGTCTTAAAATAAAATCCAATTTCGTTGAATAAATTGATAAATTAATTTTAATAAAATCATTATAATACAACTCCGAATATTTTTGCAAATATTCAAAGTTCGGATATATAGAAATCAAATTGTTTTTAAAATCGTCAAGATGATTTTCAATTAATCCATCATCATTTTCTAAAACTTGTTTTAAAATATCCAGTTCTTCATAATATAACTTTTTATAGAAGTTAATTTGATCCAAGAAATAGTATGAAAAAGGAAATTCAAGATCATTAATCATTAAGTGTGATATTTTATATATAGAAGGTTTCGGTTCACATAAGTTATTAATATTGATTGTTGTATTATCCATAAAGAAATGTTTCCATAAATCGGATAATTCAGTTTTTATTTTAGATTCCTTATTGTTATAATTGAAAAATGTAGTTAATGCTGATAAATTTTCGAGTGAATATATAATTTTAGCAACAGTCTGTTTAATAATTATTCTTATATAATCTTGTAAAGCCAGTGATAAGCAAGTAAATTTTGATAAATACGTTTTATCTAAAACTACTTCATATTGCCAATTTTTGCAATTTTCTAAAACCCATTCAAAAGTTTTAGTTTTAATACAATTTACAAAAATCAAATTGCTTAAAATTTGATTACTCAACGTACTACAAAAATGAAATTTATACAATAAATTAGTAATATTATAAATAATCTACTTTAGTGAGACATAAAGTTAACATACCTGATATAATTTACATTGGAATGTTGATATTTTATACATGATAAGCACCATAATAATTCATCTTTCAATATTTTTTCAAATGGCTTTGTTGAACCAACTATTTTTTCAAAAAATTCAGAGTTAATTATTTCATATAAAGGCTTATCCAAAAAATCCATTAACGGTGCCTCTTGTGATTTTAACGTTTCAATAGTAATTTGTTTCCAGCCACAAATGAAATTGGATTTTATTAAATTTGATTCATAATCTCGTCGAATATGAAATATTATACATGCATGCTTAATAGGCATATTTATTTCATATGCTTCTTTTTTGGCCAAAAATTCGCTTCGAAACTGTTCAATAATATACTTCGCTAATTTGACACATTTAATATTAATAGTATTAATATCACACTGAAGGATTAAAACTTGATCCATTGATTCAAAAAAGAAATCTTTTACTATTTTTGATATTTGAACTTCGGTCTTAATGATTGACAAGTTATGCGCTTGATATCTCAAATAATCTTGCAAACTAGATTTGAAATCTGTGTAAATCTTAGAAAATGTATTTATAATTACTAATTGTCCTTCGGGATCAAACAGACCAAATAAAGCGTCAAAATAATTGGAAAGGCAATTATGATTTTGATTGAAATAAACATGTTTCCACCGATCAACTTCATCTTGTTCTAAAATTGATAATTCTGCTCTTATAATCCCATCAGCAGAAGCTATTGCAATTAATGATTCTTTACATTTTTCTAAAATCTCATTATCATTAGCTTCAAGGTTATTCTTTGTAATGTAAAACATTAAACTTTGTAAAGTTTCATCTTTATCAAATCCAATGAATAAATCCTCTTTGGTGAATCTATTATGTAAACCAGTCACTGAATTAGCCTTAACCAAAGTTGTAATTTGATTTGTCCAATTGTCTAAATATTCAACAAGTAATTTTTGCTTATCATCAAGTAAGTCATTAATCGACATTCTTTGTTTTTCAAATCGATTAAGAAGTGGAGGATTAGCCAAAGCCAATTTAGTCTCATCCATAACAAGAATACATTTAAAATTCGGAGAAACGTAACTAAAAATTTATTATTATTTAAAATGTTTTGTAATAATAAAATATGAATGATAAATTTCATAATTTTACTTACAGCATAGGGTTGGAATATGCACCAAGTGCAACTCTCGTAAAGTATTTGACATTATCTTTATTTCCCACCACAATATAATTTTGATCCCATAAATCGTAAAGACTCCCTATTGAAATAGAAAAAAAATTTTTTATTTACTTGATTATTAGAATCTCTATGATAGCAAATAGAATAATTACCATAAATTGTTTCTAAATCTGTTAAAATTAATGGTCTGCCTGCTTCAACGCACATCTAAAATGATATATTGACTTTTAATATAAATAAGCATATTAAACTAGGAAAAAAAATTCTTTGAGTTGAAAATTAAATTTTTAACCATGATTCTCCTCAAAACACTATAATAGTAATCTTCTTGATCGTCAGGAAATTGTGATCCTAGAATTATAACAGGATCCAAATCTCTCCTCCTTAACTGATAAGTCAGCAAATTTACAATTGAATCACTTTTACTGATAACCATTAAATGGCGTGCATCAGAATCATTTAAATTTGAATCAATTAATTGTCCGACTGGAATTTGTTCATATATCCATGGCTTATGATTATTAAACATCTTTAGAACGTTTCCAAAATATTGATTACATAATTTGACATGATTCTCGGTTCCTCCAAAATTACGAGCTAGTGCCATTTGAACATTCCCCGGAGTCATTTCGTTTAATGAAAGACGCTTCACCAATGCATAATAATCACGAAGGCCGTGAAAGTTAGACAAAGTTTGACCATTTTTTTCATATGCTTTAGCTAAAGGTTCTAAAACTAATCTTTGTCCAATAACTCTAGTATTTAATAAACGTTCGGCAGTATCGACTAAATCATTCAAATTAAATTGTGGTCTGTATAGAGGATATAAGAAAATTATAAATAAGTTGTAAAATTGTGAAATTACTATATAAATATCAAATTTTTTAAAAAAATTGTACCTTTGAACAAGTAATGCACGACTACTTTTACTGATGTCTAAGCGCCAATTAAATATTCCTATCACTGAAACAGTTGGCCCTGTATCTGGATAACTTGGTTCAAGCAAAGAGTGAAGTACTTTTAATGGATTGAAAGGACTTGTTTCAGCCAACCCAACTATAAAAAGAATAATAAATGATATGAACAACTTAATAATGTAAAAAGACCATAAGAAAATAATAAAATTACCTTCATCAAGTAAAACAACACTAGCAACAGGAAATTGTTTGGAAGTTGTCTTCTGAAATTTATTTGCCTTCTCAAAAACTTTTATAATACCTTCAGAAGTTGAAGATGAAGAGCCTTGATGTGGAATTAAGTAAACTTGTGCTAATTTTCTAAAATACATATCACTTGAATCAGAACCACGTAAATTCGAACTTATAAGACGAACTGCTAAAGATTTTGAAGAGCCCGATGCTTCTATAAGAAACAGAGGGATTTTTGTCAAAATGCATACGATAATGACCAAAACATTTTCTAATAAAGCTTCGTTATATGCCGTATTAGGTGGACATTGCATCCTGTTAATATAATCTTTTTGTTCTTCGCGAATAATTTTGGAAAACATATGCTCCCCTATATACTCTTTGTGATTTTGTAATATTTGCCCCATTTCACTACGATATTGTTTGCATAAATTTTGATCATATAAACGAAAATGATAACAAAGACTAAGTGCCAGAACATAAGACCTAATCCTTATTGTTGGATTACCAGGTGGTGGATATGTATGTTCTTTCTTCCAAACTGGACGATCTTGAAGAGAATTATTAAAGAATTTCACTAATTTTATAGCTCGTTTAACATCACGTAAGCTCACACTATATCGTTCCTCAACCTTACGAATGAATTCTTGAGAAGCAAATAAAAGTTCTGCAAATACAGGGTGTGCTAAAGTTTTTAATTCTTTTTCAACCATTATTTGAATATATCTGTATTCATCATCTGGTTTCAGAATACCGTAGTCCCAAACATAATCTAAAATTTGGTCAGGAAGTGGTTTGACCTGATAAACAAGATGACTCCATTCTTCGAATTTTTTAACTCTATTTGTCAAACCGGCTTCACTTTGAGCTTTCGCATGAAGACGGTATGGATTGCAAGCAGCGAATAAACGAATATTTGGGTGTATTGGCTTCCCATTAAACATTCGATGGGATATTAAATCAGCGAGTAAACCTATATAATTGCAAGTATTAATTTCATCAAAAAATAACCAAATCTCGCCTTTTTCTGCTTTTTCTAAAGAATCATTCATGAACATCACAATAGCTTTTTCATTGATTCTGGCGTGAAGGAAAAGTGCCTGGAATTGAACTTCAATCATCAAGGCCAGATAAGAGATCAAACTTGTCTATAAAAGAAACAAAATTTTAATAATTATTTTTATTTTTTTGAAAAAGTAACATATATAATGAAAAATAACATATTCACCTTGCCACATCCTACTTCACCACAAACTATGACCGGAATGTTTGCACGTGCTCTTAAAAGAATTAAGACCATCTTTATTAAGTTATCACCAGATAAAGCATATTCAGGAAGATCTGATCTTCGTTCCAAATATTCTAACTTTAATAAAAGAGCTTTTGAAGACATCGAATTATAATCATCTAATTCCCATTTCGTTTGTTTACCAATTACTTGACTTTTTAACAAAGTCTTTATATTTTTATGAACTTTATTTCTGTCACGATATAAAGCTGATATTATATCAGGAATTTGAGAATTGAAAAATACTATAAGATGATTTAAGTCGTCCCATTGAACAATTTTACCAAGACGAGCGTTTCCATCATCAGCATCTATAGCACTTGTAGATTCTAGTTGTGCCTCTTTTGTTCTAATAGATATGGTTGCAAAATCTTTTGAAACATCTATTAAGGTTCTTAATATAAGATTTCTAATGTTAGTTTCTTTTACCATTAATTTGAGATTATCTACAGTAAAGAATTGATTTGATGAAAATCGAACTAATTGATCTGCGAGTACATTAATAAATATTTCAACAAATCTAAATGAAGAAGTATCTTTGTTGCCTTTATTAAAGAAGTATTTTTCAATAAGATTTTGACAACGTTCTACTGGTAATGGATCTTTAATTGCTTTATCTGTCCGGAAGAGGATCTCTTTTGAATCTATATTATTACGATCCAATAAATTTAAATAATGACAAGTAATCTGAATTGGACTATTGATTTCTTGAGAGGCTTTCAAATTCTTAATATTCCAAGATATATGATTAAACAATAAATATCCTGCCATAGGAAGAGAATTAAGTAGATTCTGTTCTGTAGTTGAAGCTATTTCGATAAATATATGTGTGGGTGTTTCTGATGGAGGCAGACAAGCTATATCAACATTTGTAGAAACCATACCCAAAGTTAATAACTTAAATAAAAACATATTAACGTCTCCAGGATAGTTAGCTGATACTATATTGATATGCAGACTTTCAACAGGTCGGAGTTTACATTCTTTGAATTGACGTACAAGCCTGCCAAACTGCGTATCATCGCTTATTAAAAAGCTACGAGGAACTTTCTTTTTTCTGAAACTATATTCTTTAATCCATTCAGTTTTGCCCTGTCCTGATAAATCAGAAGAAACGCGTATGACATTCTGACACAATTCTCTATAAATTCCTCTCATTGAATCATTATTTAATCCATTAGTTTCCTTAACATCTGAAGAGAATTGATCTAAAATACGATGATGGACTCCATTTTCTCTGCAGAAAATGAGTGCTAAAAGATAGTCCTTTTGATCTTGCATTGATCTAATTTGGTTAGCTAAATTATATTGTAATTCAATTTCCAATAATTCCAAATTTACAATACAAAATAAGTGAATTTCATATCCATTTTTTGATGCATAAAAACTTCTTTTAATAAAAATAGTTAGTTCTTCCATTGTAGTTGAGGAAGTACATATCAAGAGTTGCCACGGTTCGGGGTAATATCCATGATTAGCATATAATGACATGATAATATTTGGAACTCGTGTTTTGTCAGTATAAGAAGCGACGAATATTTCGCCCTTTCTAACTAGATCTGACATTACGCGTTGCCCAGCAGCTTTAGGTTTACGAGATTGTTTTGGAACGTTTCTAAAAATTCTTTCTAATTCATTTCCAATTTCGGTAAGAATTTCAAGATAATTTTTGGATTCACGTAAAATTTTTTGCATATCTCTACGAGTTGATGGTAATTGTGCTTTACTGTTTACGAATCTAATCAATATTTTGCATTCTTCTTCATTACCCTTATCTAATTTTTCTGATGTAAAATAATCATAGAATGCTAAAATGTGACAAGCGGGGAAGAACGTTAAATAAAAACATCTTTGTTGTGCACGATCTACTATATTTTGCCTATAAATTTGTAAAACCAAAACTCGTTAATTTCTTACAAGAAAGCAATAATGATAAAAAAAATTAAAAAACACTCACCAATTTTTAAGTTCTTCCTTTAAAAATTTCAGGTAATCTCTCATATTATCCGTTCCTTGTAATTTATTTTCAAACTTTCTATAACCAAAATGTCCCATTTGTATCAACATGGATACTATATTAATTATTTCTTGTGCAATATCGACTTGGGCAACAAATTTATCCATAACATCTTTGGACATTTCTGCCTCTTTGTTGTTTGTATTTTTTGGTTTTGCAATCAAAAGAGCCTGTCCACGTAAATCTAAAATTTCGTTTAGATTATATTTCACATTAGATTTAGAGGGATATTGTAAAGAAACTAAACACTTGTCTTCTTTTCGGTCACGTGTAAATGTAAAGGTTCCATTAAGTACAGCATTTTTGATTTTCTCTCTAGTTACTTCTTCACTGTTTTGAATATTATTGTACATATTTTGCAATGCCATATTGCTACTATTACATAACGCAATCTTTTTTCCTAACGTAGGATTCTTGTTCACAACATCTGATAACGAAGCTAAAAAACCAGTAATACCTTCCCAATAATTAATCTTCATAAAAGGTAATAAATATTGCCCAACTTGAATGAGAGAGGAAACAGTATCCTCTTGGATCAATCCTTCATCCGAATAGTCATCCACACCAATAAACAGATTTTTAATATTATGCTCGGCAATTTTCTTTAAGAAACTCAAAAATTCTTTAGCGCTTGATAGCTCTTTTATCAATTTCCAACAATCTTGATTGACATTAGAAAGATTCTTATCAAGATAATCGAAAAAATTATTCAAGGTGCTAAGTTTCACGGAATCATCTTTTAAAATACCAATTGATTTTGATAGCCAATCATCTTCATCATGTGGTACTTTGAAGAATTCCATTTCCACGACACTTTCTAGCTCTTCAAGTCGTTGGATCCAATGAGGAATTTTTGTAAGATAATCAAGGGTCTGCACAAATATTTGACTTTTGGAAATTTTATAGTCTTCCATCAAATCAAGCTCTGAATTAACATCTGTGACATTTTTCCAAAGCAAAGATGTTTCTGAACATTTCAGCTTTTCCCAATCCTTAAGTTGTTTACACATAGCATTATACTTTTCAAAAACGATTGGAATTAAATTTTGTGCTATGTATTCTACGTTTATTGCAGCAGCGTCTTCCTTAATACAAAAATCGAAGATATTTCGAAAAGCTTGAGATCGATTAAATTTGTAGCAATTTCTTGCACTGTCCATAGTTTTCTCATGGAATGCCCAATGATCTGATAAGAGCACTTGTTTCACCTTTGTTTTATCTGAATTTTGCAAATGTTGTTTTAAATCTCGAATATAATCAGCTACATCTGTTACTTTATCGTTTGGACAAAATCCGTTATAAAATTTGGAAAGTACATCGAGTTGATTTTGATAATTATTACATATCTTTCTAAGTTTTGCAATTTCATCTCAAGAAATGATTACGTCTCCCAATGCTTTCTTCTTATCAACAGCCGCATCAAAATGTCGAAATAGATATTCGTCATCATATTTCAAAATTTGTCGCAATAATTGGACATCAATAGTTTTTTCAAGAAGGAATCCAGCAAGTTCGTTAATTGACGTTTTAATATTTTTAACAAATGGATTTGAGTTAAGTTTTGCGACGCTTCCAGTAGCGCGTAATATGATATTCCAAAATTTACTAATCTTTACAATATTCAAATAATGATCTGAAGAGCTGGATACAGTCGATTGGCTTTCTAATCTATTCATAATATGATATAAAATATCTTCGCTCATCCTAATGATTTATTAACAAACAATAAAAAAAATTAAAACATTACAAATATTTAGGAGAAAAATTATTACAAATAACTTACATATTTGGAACGTCTAGAGGCCTGGTTTCGCAATCGCAAATAATGCGTATCTTATTTAAAAACTGATTATGAGTTTGTAGAGCAGACTTATTAAATATGTCCTTTACAATCTCTACAAATAGTTTCTTAACATCATCTTGCTTTATTTGTACTATTAATTTTGTTGCAGCAAAGATTCGATCTTCTGAACAATTCTTCACTCTATCTATGGCAATTGCTGTTAAATCTCGCCAAATATTAATTCTTTGATTAAGCAAAGGATACATAAGATCTAATTGTTGAAATACCAAAAAAATAAAATTGCTCTCGTTTTTATTACTTGTGCTTGTATCGAGTTTGGAGAGAAGATTTTTAAACCAAATTACACAAATTTTTGGTATCTTTTTCTCTTTGGTATCTGAAAAATCACTACGGAACCAATCGTCTAAAATTTCAGGAAATATTTTTAATAATTCCAAAGTATGTGACTGAGATATTAGCTCCAATGATTGAATAACTTTATCTTTGTGCCAATCCAGATTATTATCGTGAAGTAATTTTTTAATAGCATCGATATTTTCATATGTCCACTTTTTATTTGGACTTAAAAGTAAAGATATAACTTGATTTGGGACAATTCCTGAAACACGGTCTTGATAATCTTTTGAAAGGCTTCTAAAGTAGAATTCTAAGGCAACAGCATCACTAATTTGTCCAATAAAACACTCAAAAAGACTATAATCAATTTCGTCGTTATGAATAAGAACATCATTCCAAATTTTTAAAAGAGAGTCAATATCGTAACATAATTGGATTAACCACTAAAAATTTAAAAAATGGGTAATTAAAATCAAATTAAATCAGAATTCAAAAAAATTTTTAATCCAAAATTTACCTTTGCGATTACAACGTAAGATTCTAATTTAATATTCTCAGTATAAATTTTAATGATTTTACATCTTTCAATAAATTTTGCTAAATTTTCATCAGAATATTTTAAAGCTTTTAAATGCTTAATAAAAGTACAATTGGGATCAACTTCAATCATAATTTTAAAAATAATGAGCCAATCAAATTTCATCTGAAAAGCATTATGCTTGATTAAAGTTATGATAGCAGTATACATTTGATCTTTAGTGCCTAAAGGTAAAATTTCTTGCTTATAATTCTCAAGTGCATTAAGCAATAAGTTAGATGGGAAATTCTTTGGCAATTCACGAGGAGAAACCTCTCTTTTTGAAACATAATACCCTAAGAGAATACATAAGAATAACCGTTTTTCTTTAAGGTCATTATTAATTTGATTGATAATAAATTTTGGATTTGAAGCGCGTATCGTTAGATCATTGTGAAAAGTTAATAAACGTTGATATTCCACAACTTTGTCTTTAAAGTTATTAGCCTCGATAGAATCATAAATATAGTCTACAAAAGCAAATCCATGCATTTTCCATATATCAAATTGATCATTTATTTCAATATTCAACGTGCGATTGTCTTGAGAATCAATTCCTTCAAATTCAATTTTTTCTTCTCCTCCAAATAACATAGATTTAGACGTATGAATAGCATACTTATATTGGATTTTTTCAAAATTTGATACCGAAATGGTAACTGGATCGGATTTCCAATATGTTAGATTTTGAGGAAATGGTTGACGAAGTTTTACGATAGGATTTTTCCAGGATCCTAATTCTTTTACATCGCCAAGAATTACAGGTTGTCCATTTCTTTCAATGTTCTCTGGCAAAAGAATATGGAATGTAAATGACAATGTATTATTTTCCATATGGCTTCTCTTCTATAAGAACGTAAAACCAATAAAATAAAATAAAATTAAAAAAAAAAAAACTTTTGATTAAATATCCCTTAAATGATAGCTATTGTTCTAAATTCCGCGGAATTTTCAGGATTTCCGCAGAGGATTCCATGGAATTTCATTGTATTATAGTTTAGATCGGCACATGAGCAATGGTAAATCGCAGCCAAATTTAGCTGCAAAACACTTTAAGGGATAAGATATGTAGGCTGAAATCATGTATCGTACAAACATAAGATAGACTCGTGCTTAGACTCGTGCAATATATTAATTATATGCAGCAGATCACTATATAAAGGAAAATGGCGTTAGGAAAGTTTAATGAAAAACTTTTCTTTAATTGTATCATCATTCTTAAACTGAATGACATCATTATTCTATTTCAATCTCTCAACTAGGGAAGATGGAGAGGGTATGTTAGAGAGGGTATGTTAGTAAAGGAGTTAGTGTTTAGTATATTTTTGTTTGAATATATTGCATTTGTATTTTTTTATAAATAAATATAAACGCGTGACGGTATGATCCAAAAAAAAAAAAAATTAAAAAAAATTATCTTTTATTTAAAAAAATATTAAATTAAATTTATTGTTTAAAAAAAAATATCAAATCTTAAAATGAAAAAAAATAAAAATAAAAAAAAAAAAAACTCCACACTCC